TTAGCTATATTGCACACTTTCCAGATAAAACATTTTAATCTATTGAAATATAGTATTTGAAACCTGGACACTGACAGGTGCATTAGACAGAAGTGTTCATAAGAAAATAAAATTAACTCTCTTGCATATTATTACCAAAAATTTTAATGTGAGGAAACTAAAAAAAACTAATTTGTATCAAATGCTCATAATAATGATTTATTTACAAAAAAAAAAACCATTTATATATTAATGGTAGTTCACCATTTACTTACTAAATAGTAATCCTAGTTTACTGTTGAAGTCCAACGATGTTCTTGTCAGGGTCACTAAATGTATTATTTTATAAATCATGGCAGCAACAATAGCAGTAGAAACTTCACGTCATATAAATAATAGTTTAATAATGCATTCTGGTAATAGAAATATTAGGCCTTGGAGGCGTTTTACTGAGAGGCTGGTAAACACCATAGCTTTAAGTCCCACAACATAAAGGAAGACAATCCTATAGTTGTTATAAACACACACAAGACACTGATCAGACACTGTGATGTGATCTGAGCTCTGATTGGTCAAAAATAAATTTACAGTCAAAAGTGTCTCTTATCGTAATTCTCCCTCATGACCTTTTACCTTTACTCTGCCATGTTTCATCCTGAAATTGAAATTGTGCTTAACTGTGAACAGCTGGCGATACAACACTTCTCCATTCCAGCACTGCGTCCTAACTTCCCTCCCTCTTCCTCTTGTTTTACCCAGCACTTATCTGAACATATCCCCCCCCCCCTTCTTTTTCCCATCAGCTGGGTAAAGTCCCCTTCCCAAAGCCAAATTACCAATCTGCTTCACCTCCCCAACTCATCACCTGAACTCCCAGCCCCTTCAGTTGGATTGCATTGATGCAGGAGATCTTTCCCATGTGGCTCTGCCACTGCTGGGACACAACCAGGAACGCTAATGTTGGTTTATACAACAGGATTATGACCTGGAAATTGTAATATCACTGGAATTACTTTTTCCTTCTTTTCTTCCCCTTCTCTTTCCATTCGGATTCATCCAACCCTGGTCATCACATGCCAAACGACTACCTGGTGGTTCCAGACGACTTTCCTGAATCTTAATGTGGATTAAGATGTAAACTATGAAAACACATAAACAGGCTAGCTGAAAGTGACCATCATGATTAAGAAGACATAGACTATCAGAGCTGCAGTTTTTTGGCATTGTCCTCACAACAATGACTGGTTTCCTGATAGATTGAATTCGGACAAAAGATCATGAGGTGATTGCTTAAAAAAAGGTCTTTCTTCCCTCACAGTTGTGATGATGTCATTTGGGGGGGTCAGTTTCTGTGCATTCAACTAGAAATGTATCCTTACTCGTGTTATGATAGAGAAAAAGATACTTTGTAAAGTCACAGCTGCTGACTTGTGCCTCTTCTTGAATTCTGCTTCATTGTGCTGTTTAGAGTAAAGGAATCTAACATACCTATAAATAATAAATGAAAAAATCAGCTAATTTGTATACAACACTGAAGTGTTTCATTTCACAATTTATATCGAAGCATTCACTGAGAGAAAGTATGTGCTTCAGACAGGATGGCCCAGCAGCAGATGTCACCTTGAGGCTAATAGCACCTGTCCCCCACTCTGGTCCCCTGACTAATCCCAGCTCCCTAGCAGCCAACAACCCCCTCTGGTGAATGTGGCCCTCTAATCAAGCAGTCCATGTCAGCTTGTTATCTGTCCTGAGGCTTCGGGGCATTCAGACCTTGCTGCCCCAGCCTGCTGCTATAATCCACCATGGATCACACATTGAGCAGAACCTTTTTTCTCCTCTGCCCTAAGTGGCCAACATGTGCTCCATGCACATATCCCACAGGGACGTACAGTGCACCATTGCTGTGAAGGATCAAAGAAATTGTGGAAAAAAAAGGGCTCTGTTTCCAAGATAATCCGGGTTATTTGAACAATCCTCAAAAGAGATGTGGCTTCTGAATGATGTTAATGTCTATCTTGAACATGTTAGTTTTATACAAGGCCCCTATGAAGTATAAGGTTTGGAGCTTACTTTGGCTATTTTCAGGTCTGTGTCAATATGGAGCAAACAGAAGAGAGTGTTAAACAAATAGCCGATGAATTATACAGTGAAGCTGTTATCAGAAAAGTAGAAGTAACCTATTTTCATTACGGTGGCCTCAAACAGCGTTTTGCATAATGCGTCATGAATAAACAAGGTTGCTCTTAATATGCTGTGATCTTTCAAACTTTTTAAAGTTCTAATTTATAACTGAGAACAAATGTAGGAACAGTATTGAATTTCAAAATGAGTGCATGAAAAACCTGTTAATATTTTAAAGAATTTACGTTATTTCGATTTTTATTCATCTGCGTTTGGTGGATCTTTTCCAGTATGAGAGCAAAGTCATTATTTACAACAAGAATACCTGTATCAGAGGAAAAAATCAGTCAGTACCAGGATACAGAAGAGAAACAAGTAGAAATTGTGAAAACTGATACCAGTGTTTTCTTGTGCATTTCTACACCTCTATTTTCAAAATTCCCCTGCCTGTCAGAACCACATTGACAGTATTTTGGATGTGGTCCACATAGACTACAGCTCTATGGAGACTGAAGTGTGATTCAGTGCCAGCATGAAAATCTCTACATCCTCTCTGAGAGGAGTATAGACGTAATGATCCGTTTTTCTCCCCCGGCCAGGTGGAGTGGCAGTTTGAGGGTAATTTCATGAATGAAAGGACAGAATTGTTCCTCCGTTTCGACTGGTCCTGAGCGCTGGCCAAGCCCCGGCTGGCCTTTAATTAAAGCTATTAACCAGGAGAGAGGAGAAGGGAGCGCCAGAGGGGCTGATAGTTAGGGAGAGGGAGGAAGATGAAGGCGAGGAGAAGAGAAGGGCAGGTGGTGTTCAGCTGTAGGTTCTCTAACTGCAAGTTACTGAATGTCCATCAAACTTGAGTGAGGTGTTTCCTGGTGAAGAATTTGCTGGTTAAAATAAGATTTAATAAAAGTAGGTTTCATTGTAATAGTATTGCTGTAATGTTTATACTCATGGTTTTGTGTCAGTAATACTATCTGTTCTTCTTAGCAGTGTTAGCATTGTAGAGGTAGCTAGAAGTAGTGGTAATTGACGGTTTATAGTATTAAAGCTCCGGTGAGGAACTTCAGGTTTAGTAGACTTGGACTTTGTGGTTGATTTCATGACCCCTGTCAACAAAACAATACCTTTCATCTCTTTCATTGTCCTCTCCTGTACATGCATAAGAAGTGTTTTAGATGAAAAATCCTTCTGCTGTCTTTTGACAGCCAAACAAATCACTCCCTGCGAATCTTTGCTATGAAAAATGTAAAAGAAAATTCTGTTTGGCAGCGTGCTGTAAATACCCAGTGTTCACAAGCATGAAAGTTAACCGTAAAGAAATAATCAATCTTCTTACTAGGGCCCAACCGATATGGGATTTTTGGGGCGGAAACCGATATCGATGTTAGGAAGAGACAAAATCTGATATATTGGCTGACATCAATCTTAGATCTATTTTCGATCTGTTCTGATCTGATCACCTCTTTTGTTTTTGTAGATCATAAAAAGTAATAAGTAATCATTTTAACCTGTTTCATAACCAGTTTATAACTCCCAAACTGAGCTTTAATGTTACATCATGAGATGATATGATATTATGATTATTATACTGATTGGAGCAGGAGTAGTTGTAATATAAGGGGCGGCAGTAGCCGGTGGTCTGGTAGCTGGAGAGGTGCCAGGGCACTTCCTGAGCACTGCCGAGGTGCCCTTGAGCTAGGCACCGAACCCCCAACTGCTCCGGTGCACTCTCTGCTTAGCAGTGTGTAGCAGCCCCCCTCTCCACCAATGCATGTCCACAGGTCCTGTTTGTGCATGCGTGTGATTCGGACCTATGTGTGTGAGAAGCATGTCCCTATAAAAGAGTGTACAACCGAATTTCCCTCAGGGATTAATAAAGGATATAAAAAAAATAAAAAAATGAACAGTTTCATTATTAACATAAGTGGTTGTAATAGTTGCCTTAGGCTCCTTGTTGTTCAAACACCATCAACATTAATAAAACAAGTGCTGTTATAGTATAAATAGAGTTATGGTATTTGTAGAAAAAACACCAACATAGTAATAGCAGTTTTATGAATATGTTTTTGGCAACATTGGTGGTTCAGAGTAATTCTTCTGGTAATAGTAGCTCTGTTATGAGTGCTAATTGCAGCAGTTAAGTAGTTATAGAGATAGTAGCTGTAAACCAGCACTACACTGTGCAGTGACTGTTTCCTCTGGTTCTTATTACTATGATGTCAGTGACTGATGCCGGTGAGCCTTCAACTGATGGTGGCTGATGAAAGGTTTTACACAACAAACAGGAAGTGACACTTAGGTCAACTAATGAGACGTTACAAGCTCTCTCTGTCAGAGTTTTCAGTCCGACTCCAGAGTCCTGAGGCCCTCCTCATGCACTCACTTGATGTATACAACAGACCTGTGTCAATCAGCCGCTTTCATGTGCTGCATAACATGCTCAAACTCCTCACGTGTGCTGGGAGTGGGTGCGTCCACATAAGCAAAATAAAGAGAATTTCTCAATGGCAATGCTGTGAATGTGTTCTTTTAACCAACTTTCAATTTTCTTTTCATGGCTCCCTTGTTTCTACCCCTCCCCCATCTCATCTTGACTCTTCAAATCCCTAAACTATCCCTGAACTTCTATACAGTTTATTTTAATTTGCTTAGCTGTTAATACAACTTTTTTGTACTCTTCATTTTTTTTTCTTACAATGCTAATCTATTTTATATATAATTTTAACTTTTTTGTAGAAGCTGACTCAGGGAGAAACGCACGAGAATTCCAATGTACCTGTACTGTCCTGTACCTGTGCAAATGGCAATAAACATCTATTCTATTCTATTCTCTCTCCTTGGACTTCGGGATTCTCACCTTGGTGTCTGTTGGGGTCTACTCCGCCTGACATCTTCATCTCCAGATGCCCTCTCGCTGCAGAAATGCGCTGAACATCGTGGTCACCACCCTTTTTGCTGCGGTGGTCCTCTTCACCATCTTGCTGGCCTATGTCACAGGTGAACTTTAATAATAACCAACATAAATTATAAACAAGTTATGAGGAAAGTAATTGTAGGTGTATAAGCAAGGCTAAGTCTTAATTTGTTGTCTTCAACTTTGAAACATTAAGGCTACATTCCACTTCTTATAAGGAATTTAAATGTGTGATGGTTTTTGTTTTCACCTGTCTCTGCTGTATTTTTTTGTGGTATAGGCTACCAGTTCATCCACACAGAGCAGCACCACCTCTCCTTTGGCCTCTATGGTGCCTTCCTCTCTCTCCACCTCTTCCTCCAGAGCCTTTTTGCTTTCCTGGAGCATCGTCGGATGAGAAGCCCTGCCCGGCCTCAGCATCTCCGTCGCACTGTAGCCCTCTGCATAGCTGCCTACCAGGAAGACCCAGACTACCTGAGGAAGTGCCTCCGCAGCATCAGACGGATCTCTTTCCCTGGCCTGAAGGTGGTGCTGGTGGTGGACGGCAACCGGCCAGAGGATCGCTACATGATGGACATTTTCCAGGAGGTGATGGGAGGGGCTGACCAGGCTGGTAGCATGGTGTGGAAGGGAAACTACCACAGTGATGGGAGCGGAGGAGGATGTGTGGAAGGTGGAGGGAGGAGCACCGTCCATATGGAGGAGGCTGTACGAGTGGCTCGGCTGGTCAGAGGCTGCCGCTACTCCTGCATCATGCAGGAATGGGGAGGGAAGAGAGAGGTGATGTACACTGCCTTTAAAGCGCTGGGGGAGAGCGTGGACTATGTACAGGTAAGGTCCCAAACACACAACACACTGCTATTCATGTTCTGCTTTGAAATAGTGCAGAAGAAGTAAGTACCTAGTGAAAGGTATTTAAGTTGTAAATGTTAAAAGTCACATATTATAACCATTTTCAAAAGTTTAAATAAGTCTCAGTGGTCCCCAAAACATGTCTGTAAAGTTTAGGATGTCTATAAACCCCTCTGATTCAGCCCTGCTCAGAACAGGCTGTTTCTGTGTTTATAGTATTAAATGTAAGTTAGCTGTGTCTGACCACACCCGACCTGAAGTCTTTCTCCCACCATGCCCTAACATTTATGGTTAGAAGGTAGATTCAGAGTGCAGAGCAAACACCTAGCTGGGGGAGTGTCACCCACCTGGCGGAGGGGTTACTGCCCTTTGTGATGTCATGAGGGGAAAACCTCCAAGCGGCCTGTTTGAGCTCACATTTTCTGAAAGTAGAGCAGGCTAAAGCAGGAGAGGATGGACTTTTGTACGTCATAATCGGGGGGTTTGGAGAAGGGCTAGGGACACATATTAGTGTTAGAAAAGCAAATGCATTTTGCACCATATGCGACCTTTACAGTTTATTTTAAAACATGACAAGTTCAATGGACTACATCACCAATTTTACTATTAAAGATAAGTAGCCTACTACTCATTCTCTTCTCAAAAAATCATTAAGTTTCTCAGGCAGGCCTTCGTCAAATTTGAAAAAAATATCTATATTATGTCACCTGGGTTTGATTTTTTTTTTGTTTGCTATAACTATCCTCCTGCCATGTCACATGAGTCTAACTTACTTGGCTTTGATGTAACTGCTATTGAAAGTGCAACTATCCTGTTGCATTGTTCTGTGCATCAACTGCAATGACTTCAAAGTTAAAGTTTTCCTTTATTAAGATAACAGGCAGCAGGGGCCTACACTGAAACATTTCCACCACAGATCAATGAAACTTTATAGTTAGAGGCTGGCTGTAAAAATAACCAAATTACAAAAAGTCATTAGTGCAGGGCTATTTTGAATTCATGTGCACATTCCTACCAAATTGTAATTGATTCTGCTGCATAAGTGATTTTATATCTTCTTTGCTTCTGTGCTGGTTCATGCAGGGGGTGCTCATACAAAATCCCTCTGTAAAACAGATTTTTATAAAAGAAACTGAGCAGTGTTTGCATGCTATTGGTTCAAAGTCACCTAGAGTTGTACAATGCATGATTTATTTTTTTAAAAAGAGATATCCCACCACATTCTTGGGGTGGAGGATATGAGTTTGGTCAGACAATACTCTCTGCTTTTGCCTGAGTACTGACTGCTCATATTGGCTTGAAGGACTGGTGTTCAGTCCCCTCCATAACCCAAAGGAAGTCAGTTAGGCTTGGATTTTTACAGAAAGATTGCCAATCCATGCTTACCAGATCTATCTGTCCATCCATCCATCCATCCACCCTTCAACCAACAGTGAATTTCTAGTACAAAGAGTGTTTTTATTTGCATTCCAAGAGATTTTGTCCATATTGAACAAACATCTCTTTCGCTTCATGGCCAGCTGTTGCATGACCTCTGTATCTGTGCTGTGGGTCAGAAGTCGTGTCTGCAGCTGACCCAGGTATATACAGCTTAAATGAAGCAGCTGGGTTGTCTGTCAGCAGCCTCTCATTCCTCTCATGAATTTTAGACTCAATGTTTCTCAATGATGTACAACGCCTGTGGCCTTAATTTGGCAAATGGTTTTAGGCTACATTGCATTCTCTGTGTGACCTGCAGCGTTGTGTTTGTTGTTTCATTCTTCAGGTGTGTGATTCAGACACTGTTCTGGACCCAGCATGCACCATAGAAATGCTGAAGATTCTTGAGGACGATCCAATGGTGGGAGGGGTTGGTGGAGACGTTCAGGTAAAATATTATACTTTTTAGTCATAATGAATTATATGAAGGCCAAAGACTACAGCTACAAGAAAACAAATGGCATCAGCCTTGACTTGCAGGAGAAAATTCAATGAGAACACATTTTTACAAGCACTGCCAACCTTGTTGTCTTTTGATAGCAGCTGTCGTGCAGTAAAACCCTGCATTTTATATTACTACAACTGCCTACATGGGCAGAAGGAAGCTCTTAGTCAATTCCCATGTCAAGATGCGTGATCAGGGCCAAAATTTTGGTTCAGAGAACCAGTCTGTTTTGTGTTCGCCCTTTGAAACCAGCAAACTAAGTGTGTATGTGTTTGCTCATGTGAATTGTATTTACTGGTGTGTCTGTACTTCGACAGATTAGTAAAAAGCGTTAAAAAGCTCTCCTGGACATACATTGTTTTATTATTAAAATGATATTTGAACATAAAAAGTAGTATGGACGTATCCTGAAATGCTTGGTTGGAAAGTCAACTAACAACTTAAAGGGAGGTGATTAGAAAGTCAATACAACATGTGACAATACAATTAAAAGTAAAGGTGTTCCGTTATTCCTTTTGTCCCTTTTGACTGTTTTGGACTAACTTCTCACTTTCCACTCCTCCAGATTCTGAACAAGTATGACTCGTGGATCTCCTTCCTCAGCAGCGTGCGCTACTGGATGGCCTTCAACATTGAGCGGGCCTGCCAGTCTTACTTTGGATGCGTCCAGTGTATCAGCGGTCCTCTGGGGATGTACAGGAACTCCTTGCTCCAGCGCTTCCTGGAGCCCTGGTACCATCAAACCTTCCTAGGCTCTAAGTGCAGCTTTGGTGATGACCGACACCTCACTAATCGGGTTCTCAGTTTTGGCTACAAGACAAAATTCACAGCGCGGTCACAGTGCCAGACTGAGACACCGACGCAGTACCTGCGTTGGCTCAACCAGCAGACACGATGGAGCAAGTCTTACTTCCGTGAGTGGCTTTACAATGCCCTGTGGTTCCACAAGCACAGCCTCTGGATGACCTATGAGTCCGTGGTTACCGGCTTCTTCCCCTTTTTCTTGGTTGCCACGGTTATCCATCTCTTCTACCGTGGAAGGCTGTGGAACATTCTGCTCTTCTTATTGACAGTCCAGCTGGTCGGCATGGTGAAGGCCACCTACGCCTGTTTCCTTCGTGGCAGCTTGGTCATGATTTTCATGTCCCTTTACTCTCTGCTCTACATGTCAAGCTTGCTTCCTTCCAAAATGTTTGCCTTGCTCACCATTAACAAGGCAGGTTGGGGCACATCAGGTCGCAAGAAGATTGTTATCAACTTAATAGGCGCAGTTCCTGTCACAGTGTGGGCTATGGTGCTGCTCGGAGGTGTGGTGTATACCATCTACTGTGAAACACAGGACCCATTAAGTGAGACAGAAAAAGCCTTATTGATAGCAGGGACAATACTCTACGCTTGCTACTGGCTCATTCTGTTGGTGCTCTACCTGGCAATCGTAGCCAAAAGGTGTAACAAGAGGGAAGAGCAGTATCACCTACCATATGCAGAGGCATAAACCTGAATCCAGAGAGGCTGGTAGAACATTTGAGCTTTGTTTCTGGCAGTATGACAAATAGGGTCTCTGTTGACCCTGTGAACTATTAAAGTGATCAGCTCACATCTTCATCACTGGTGCTACAAAGGTGTGAATCTGAAATACTAGCAGAGAAAATAGAATTCAATTGGGGGACTAACCATGAAGACTGGATCGATCCATCCAGCCCTCCCATTTAAACCAAGTTCAATGGTGCTTCATATTGAAAAGCCAAACAGGAGTGATCCAGTTAATAAAGTGTTCACACACTTGTAATTGTGATGTGCAGATGAGAACAGTAGTTAAATAATGGGTATAGATAAAAGCTTACCTATACTTTATGGGTAAAGGTAAGCTGGACAACTGTGATGATATTAGCTGTCGGATGCTTTTAGAGACATGAAGGTCCTCTTTACTTGTTCATCAGTTTTGTAATTGCCTTCCTTTTTAGTAAAGGTTAGATGGAATTGAATGAGAGCCTCTTTTAAGATGTTTAGACAGAATGTAAAGCAAATCTTAGAAGTTTTGCCAATGCCTTTTCATCATCTTTTGTCATCTAAAATATTTGACTTTGCATCAGTATACAAATCTAAAGGGTGCTTATTTGCAAGAGGAAGCTGTGTCAACTTGAGGGTAAAAATCCTGGTGCTCTAAAATCAACCTCATAACACTGTAAAGACACAGAAAAGTGGGGAGAGACTGAAGGACAATAACTGAAAGAACTAAAGTTCTGGGTGAATTATGAGTTTAGTCATTGTACACGTGATAATGACCATAGCTAAGGACTTTGAGGTAATAGATTCACTGTTTGCAGACAATGCAGATCTGCGAAATTCATCTAAAAATGTGTGTTCTTGTTCTGGGTTGTAGCAAAGTGTAAATTGAATAGGTTCAGAATTTCACAAGTCTCTGACAACACAATACCCACTATCCATTTGTTACATGGTTTCTGTAATATTTTCTCCTCCCTGTAAAGGTTATGAAGAGTGATCTTTCTAACACCTCTACGGGTGATAAGAAATGCTGTAGGTTCAGGAAAACTCTCCTCCTTCTCTAACAGACAAAAAAACTGTGATATCAAGTTATTTTTGGCAATATAAAAAGTGTTGGTTGAGTTTCTAAAGAATTATAAAGCCATTGTTTTCACAAGAATTATTAATTGAAAGCAATGATATTACTTTGCCAAATAATTGTGTCTCAAAAATGATGGGTTTAGTAGTTATTTCATTACTTTTAGACTATGACTTAAAACTAAATTTCAACCACCATATGTGGCATCTTTAAAGCCAGGCAGTATGGTTTTGCAAACAGCAGTATAAGTTTAAGGGTTTACTGACCAACTGACAGCTAGCTTAGCTTCAGTGACTGCACGCAGCTTCCCGACAGTCCCAACCTCAACTGCAGAGTTCTCAACCCACCAATTCTAAAGGAAACCATGTGTTCCTCGAGAGTAGGCTTAACCTCAACTAAGAGGGTGCAATATGAAACAAGACATCTTTGAAACTACACAAGAGCCACGAGCAGCATTTCTCTCAAACCACGTCTAGCCTAACTGCTTCTTCCCAATTACATCCTTGAACCAGCACACATTTCAAACTCATGTTATTCAAGTGTATTTAGTGTCCGCAACATGAAAGCTTCTTTTCGTGTCAGTCAGCACAACCACATTACATGGTGGTAGCACAAATTACGTTCCCAGCAGCCTTCAGGGCTTTGTTCCCTGGTTTAAAAAAAGAAGAAGAGATAATTGTTTTGGTAAAAATAGAGTACATGAAGGAAACTATAAAATAAAAAAAACGTGTCATTTACTTGTTTGGCTGAAATTATCTACCCTTAACTTGTGGGTTGTACACATTTTGAACTTGTGTCTCTAAGGTTTTGCGTTTTTCAGACTCTTCCATTGTCTTCGACTACCACCCCAGTGGACTTTATGGCGCTATGGCCATGTACAAGAGTCATTATGTTACAGTGACAAATACATAAGTTAGAAATTCTGCTGAGTGACATTTGATAAAAAGAAGTGTTTGTGTATATGTCCATGATTCTAGATATTTCTCTGTACATTTCATTCATTTCAATTCTGCAAAACGATAGACCAAAGCGATTCGAGTCCTTAAGCAAACTCGCGGAAAGACGGGAACGAGCTGACCCCTCAATCTTTAAGCAACTGAGCATTACCATTGGCTGTATTTTTCACACTGGGTATACAACATATCATGTACACTTTGTGAGCCACAGCTACAGCTGGTATTTCTAAAAAAAAATCTGAACCTAGCCTCTAAAAGCATCCAGATTGTAACTACTGCTGAAACGTTCCAATATTCAGGAAATGCAGAGACTTTAAGAAGCTATCCTTCCATGTTACTTGCATTCGGATGTTTAGGTGTGGATGTCTTGAGAGCAAAACAGAGAGAGCTTGGGCATCAGCTATGAACAGCACAATCATCTGCTCCAGCTTTATTTTGTAGAGTAGCTGTGATTTACCTGAACAGACAATCGGAACATTTCTGAACATGTGACATGCAGTTATACTTTTGGTGCTGCTGAGCGGTTCCAAATGAGGAACTTGTAGTTTTAAATTGTGGTCCAATTGTCAGTACACGGACACCACTGGGTTGTGGTTCATTCAGTGCTGCAGTGATTTTTATATGGCCACTTTTTTAACTTGTAAAGGTGCCAATTATTGTTTGTGTAATATTAAAGTACTACTGGACACTATTTTCTTAATTTTGGACATTTGTGTCCTTTTACATCAAATCCTTTGTTTGTTCCTTCCATCAACAACGGTGTAAAGACTGGAAACCAAAGAAGTGAGAGACTAAAGAGATGTGTTTTTTTAATCTTTTTAGAATTATGTATCATTACAGATCAGACAGATTCAGACTTAAAAGTTCCTTTAGCATATGTCAATGTCAACATTAGCATATCTGTGCCTACACTGATCTTTTTGATTTGGACAATTTCTCATTGTGCCATTGAAGTTGTGTTCATATTGTTTTATTTAAGAAGGCTGTTTAAGTTTAAACTTGAAAGTTAAAAAAAACGACACATACAATAAAAGATGAAATTGTCTTTCTATGCTTGGTTGGTCTTGTTTCTTTAGCTGCTTCTAACTCCGAGCATCAGAATACTGGAATTTTCCTTAGTCATTAAAAGCGCTTCCTGTTGGGAGGATTGGACACAATCCTCCCATTCACTACAGAAATGTATCTACATGATTTTTATGACTGTGGTGACATTTTCCCCGCGCTGTCTTTCTCAATATTCTGATTTTATGTTTTCTTCACTGAACTGCATGTGAAACAAAATATCCCGAAAGCGAATTGGTTATTCAATGTTTTAAAAATGAAATGCTTAATATAACTAGAGCAGTTCAACTTGGATGAGTTGATGTGTCTTTTACTTAGACATGCTAACAGAGCCGCCTCAGCTTTAAGCGAGGAGCATTAATCTGTGTATTTGATTTGACTAAGAAGACACCAGAGACATACACATGAGGAATCTTAATAAGTGAACATGGTCAAGAAGAGCTTTAGTAGACATATGATGCTGGCTTCCTTAATTCCCAAGGGATTAAGTGACGGTATGTATGTCGTGAATTTGGAAAAAATAATCTGGTATTTTTAAACCTTGACCCTGTTTCTGCATGTTTTGCATAAATTATTAGTATGTTCAAACTGTTTGAGAAATCATAAAACTATACTCATTCCACTGTAATAAAATAAAATCCAGCATTTAGTTTGAATACAGATGAAAAATTACAGCTCTTTGATTTTAACACCATGTCACTAACAACTTTACATGATGTTGCAAGCAAGCTTGTGCGTGCGTGCGTGCGTGTGTGTGTGTGTGTGTGGGAGGTGTCCGCTGAGCACCGGGGACAGAAGCTTACAGCAGCTGAATGAATGGCTCCCTTCACTAGGCTTACAGAAAACAGGCTGCCTTTTTACGTCTTTACACCTTAACATGGGACCTGCCCTCATCAAACAAACACACACACTTCCAAAATATTCCTGCAATATGTTTACATGCTGTATGTTGGAGGAGGGGGTAACACTATGTGAATGTTCTGCCCTAAACGGATCTGCAGCTGTTCTTTTGTTTCTACTTTTTATGACAGTAAACAGTCAAAGATTCTGATTAAAACTAAAATTATTAGAGGAAAGAAAAAGGTGATGGGGCTGCACAAGAAAAAAAGTATGAACATCCCTTTAAAATGACATAAAGGTATGGCAGACCCTCATCCCCACCAAATCCCTGTACCAAAGAACCATAAATCAAGTTCATTTCTCATCTACTAATACTTTTGAAGGTTTTACCTTTTTCTATTCTAAATGTCAGTAGGTCCCTTAATCACTGCAGTGCTCAGTCAGTGACCATAGACCACTGTAAATGTAAATGAGTTTGTATAATGCTTTTCTAGTCTCATGACTGCTCTCAAAGCGCTGTTCACACACTGATTGCAGAGGCAGCTATGTGTCCATCAGTATTTACTAATCCAATCATACACATCCACAAGCTGCTGACCAAGCAGCAGCAGCAACATGGGGGCGGGGGGAAGTGATTTTGCCCAAGGCTACATTGGGCATGAGTCTGCAGGAGCTGGGGCTTGAACCCTCATCTTTCATATTGAGAGGTGACTGACTCTACCTCTGAGCCACAGCCACCCCAGTTCTGTGATCCTTTTTAGCGCTTTTTCATTCACTTCATTTTTAAGGCCTGAATGCAGAGGCATTTGCATGTGTTCATTGGTTATGATCTGAGTTGTAAATTATCTTGGTTTCATGTTGTACATAAGAAACATTCTATCCTTATAGTGAGCAGCCTGAATGTGTTGCTCAAGCTTTCTGACCACTTTTATGTAAGGGAAGGACATGGTGACTGAGAAAGTGAGGAATAAAGACCCAACAGCAAACAGATGATCATAAACATCAAAATTGTCAAGATTGCATATGCATGTGTACGAATAGGCAGGTTTCTCATTCCCCGAGTAAACATCATGTCCAGATGAGATGAATACTAATTTGAATCTCAAAGCTACAATATTAATGGACATGTAGACGCACTAGTTGACATTTACTCTATGTAAATCCTAATGGACTAATGCTCAGCCCATTGCAAGTGTTCGTCCAATCCTTTTTGGACGACTCGACTTAAATCCCTGTTCATTTATTCACCGCCCTTCATTCATCATCACAGGGATGTACAGCAGGAAAATTCCAAAGACTGACTGATCTGTGGGGGGGGGGGGGGGGTCACAGATCACCAAGATCGTTGCCATAACTGATTTGTTGAATGAAAACGGACCTTCTTTATGAAGATGTCACATCTATGACTTTTAAAAGATACTCTCAAAGCTTCCTATTTACACAAATAACTTTAATAAAAGAATATATGACATTATTAAACACTGACAACCATCTATTTAGTGCAGACCATCAATTGCTGCATGTGCAGCAGACAGTTCTCTGAGTATTTTGGTGGCATAGTGCACTCTGGTAGACAAAGAACTGCAGTAGATTTTCTGTAAAGGTTTAAAACTGTAATACAAATGCTGATACATATATACAGTATCTTATATAGGCCCATATTGGACAAATGATAGTGGTTGGACTCAAAAGACAATTTATGTTAAGAACATTTCTTGTAAAGAGATTAAGCCATTTTATATCCAGGGCAAATATTCCATCAAAAACCAGGTCCCTCCTGACACTACGGTGTAAAGGCACAGAATCCTTTGCTTAGGGCCTTTCAGGTTCCACACATTGCTCCTGATTCTGGTCAGTGTGCAGACGCTTTTCCAAAAGTGTTAAGGCTGACATGAACCCTTTAAAAAGCGCTCTAACGAGTTCATGTCATTGAACAGTCTTTCTAAACCTTCTTGGGCACGTTGGTGATGATGGGTTTGGGGCGAGTCTTAAAGATCAGCTTCCGTTTGATGAGGGCAGACACAGAGTATGTGGTGGTGGTGGGTCCTTGCTGGTTTGTTTCCATGGGTGTCTGTGTGACACCATCACTGTCATGGCCACCCAGACTATCCTGCGAATGCCCAGGTTGCTTGGTGAGGACAGCAAAAGGTTTCTCCATTTTGACCTGCTTCCCATACAGAATATGATGTCCCACAATGAGCACTGGCACCCCCTGGTGGAGAAAAGAGGAAAATCAGCTGAGTTAGACAAGACTGGATTATGACCAGAGGATCGCCTGAGGAATGATTACATTCATATTATTTTACAACTTTGACTGATTATCATTCAGACCCAGAGCAATAGTACTGCTTGGCTCTACACATTTAATGGCTGCAGATTTTTACCTGTTGTGATGTCATGCTCTGGAAATTTACGAAACTACCTTTCTCCGATATACTATGCATGTACCTTATATCCATTAACATACCTGAAAGTACAGCCTGTTTTCTTTCAAAGAACCAAATTACCTTTATTTTCATTGTCCACATAGTAAATCGAAAATTACATTTGCATTTCCAGGAACTTTGAATCCCAGACCCACTTATCAAGGAATAAGGCTGCTGAAGCCTGTGAGTGGTTCATGCATGTGCAAAAAGGCACAAAAACATCAATCAATCAAACTTTATTTGTATAGCACTTTTCATACAACAATGTATCACTTTTACATCAACATAAATCAAACAGCAACAAGATGAATCCCTCCACCACCCCAATCCAAAAACTAAGGTAAAATAACTAGATAGAAACAGGTACTGAGGAATCGCTAATGAGGAAACACAGGGGGTTAAAAATGCAATAAAATGAGATTCAGTTAAAAGCTAGACTTAAAAAGGTAGGTCTTGAGTTTGCTCTTAAAAATGTTTACATTGTGTTCTGCCTACAGGTCTCCAGGTAAATTGTTCCACAGACGGGGGCCACTGTAATAAAAACATGCCTCACTGTAGGTTTTAATTTGGACAAGTGGAACAACTAAACCACTTCCAGAAGACCTGAGGGCTCTGGTGGGCTCATAAGTTAAAAGCAAATGGGATAAATAGGCGGGAGCAAGACCATTAAGAGCTTTAAAAACCAATAAGAAAATCTTAAAATCAATTCTAAAACAAACAGGTAGCCAATGCAGAGACTTTAAAATCAGTGTAAAGTGTGCTCTCTTTCTGGTATTCGTCAGCAGTCTTGCAGCTGAATTTTGTAGAAGCTGCAACTGAGAAATGATGTTTTTCAGAAGACCAGAAAGAAGAGCATTACAGTGATCAAGTCTACAGGTGATAAAAGCATGAATAGGCGTCTCTGCGTTAGCTTGCATAAAACACATTTCTACATTTAATCCGCTATGACGAAGAAAATAGCACATCCATGCACACACAATTCATTTCTGTACCTCTTTGGTGTATAGCAGGTCTCCCATCACATTTCCAACCAGGCCAGAGTTGTGTCTGGAAATCACTTCTCCCTGCAGCTCCACCAGCAGCCATTCTGGAGGACTGCTGCCGTCCACACTGCCTCTGCAAGAGCAAAACACACAGAGATATCCCCTCAACTCATGGAAACACGTCAGCCCAGAAGACTTGATTCAGGATATAACTATGTCCAAAAAAAGAAAAGAAAAGGGGATGACGGAGCCACACAAAACTCAACTCAAACATTTGCTTCAAACACACTGTGAAGACACATCACCTGTGTGATCGACTGGCATGTTTCAAGGTTTCATTAGTAACACATTATAGATAAATGTCAGCTTTAACAAACTCCAGTATTCATCCTTCTAAGTCAAAACACAGCGTTTAGTCCCGATGTTTTAATATGCACTAGCTTTACTAAAATCTTACCCACAGCCCTGTCCTCGTCCCTTAGACTGTAAACATTACGGTTCCACCACACATTTAAAGAAAGGCTGTAGAAATATATCAGAAATATTGTGAACCTATCTTACCTTATGACTATTTGGACCATAGTTCGACCACAAGCTCTTTCTTTGTTAGTTCAAATGTAATTAAACGTAAAATTGACAACTTTTAAACATTCACCATAAACCTGGTCCGGGTCCGACCAAACAACCACACTATGGTTTACTCTGCGTTAGTATTTCCCGCCAGCTGTGCGTGCTGTGCGCTGCTGTGCGTGACGTGACACTTCTTCTTCGTCTTCATTAAAGGTAGTTGGAAACTAATATTCAGATGCGTCACCGCCGCCACAGGGTGCGTCGAGCGAACTACTCTGTTAACCGGAGAACTGTGAGAAATACACATGTTTTATTTAAATACTTTTATTTTATAAAGGAATGACACAAATGAGGTTTTTATATTTTCCTTCCGCATATCTAAATAACAGTTAAATGAATAATAAAATAATAAAAGCTTTCCGATGATGTTTTTATTGATGACGTATTTCCGTTTAATTTAGCGTGTTTGTGTTATTCGTTTCCGGTTCATAGGTTCCCAACGTGGCTTCTGATGTTTTCCAGCGTGTGGAGTTCACAGATAAGAAAGTAAAGACACACCTCAGAGAACAACAGGTATATGCTTTGTAATGTGGTGTGTAAATACAATTTAGTTTGAAGTAATTATTGGGACCATTGTGTGTTCTGCGGTGTGACGCTTTGATTTGGGTAACGCACATCCGCACTTCAGGTAATATTTTGATGCATCAGTAACAACCTCGTTTGTGTTTTCAGAGAAAATGGGCGAGTTTAAGGTGCACCGTGTTCGGTTCTTCGACTACATGCCCTGTGCTATCAGCGCCATGGCGTTTCACAGACACAGTGAGCGGCTGGCTGTGGCCCGGGCTGATGGAGCTGTGGAGGTCTTCTGCTTCGCTGACAACTATTTTCAAGAGAAGGTAAGAAGCTCTAATGAAGTCCAGATTACCTCACGACATGATATTGCAAAAATAACAATCATCTCTAGTTGCATCCTCCTTGAATAACCTTTTGCAAGATAAGAGATAGTGAGCCTTAAGCTGCTCAGTGTGTCAGTCAAGTTGTGAACAGTGTCCCACAGGTAAGATCAACAAGGATAACCTCCACATTTCGATTCACAGGTGATTCCAGGACAGGACGGCAGGGCTGTTGAGGCTCTGTGTTGGGTGGGCCAGCGTCTGTTCAGTGCTGGTTTGAATGGAGAGATCACAGAGTATGACCTGGAGAACCTGAGGCCCAGGTACACAGTGGAGGCCTACGGAGGACCAATCTGGACCATCAGCAGCAACAGCCAGGGGACTCTGCTGGCGGTAAGTCATCACCTGGAATTCACCACATTTATTCTGTGTCTTGTGCTGAAAATAATTCCACCCAGGCTAATATTGTCTTGGTAAGCATTTCAGAGATAAGTCTCGTCTAGTCTTGAACTTTGCTTATTAAGTCATTCTTTTCTGTTTCAGGTGGGTTGTGACGATGGGACTGTGAAGATGTTTGAAATACTGGAGGAGAGAATTCAGTTTCAAAGAAACCTGGACAGGCAGAAAGGTAAGAAAACGAGCTTATTTGGGAAACAAAATTAGTACTTTTTTAACTAAACTATGGAGAATATTATCATTAATAGTATTGGTATCATAAAGCAGTTGTTTTCACATGGCAAATAAGTAAAATTAAAACGTGAAGAATATAGAACTATATACATATATACAGAACTAAAGACTTGTGCTCCTGCTTCATGTGTGATGGTCAGAGAGGATAACTGGCGTGGTTGTAACTTTGCACAATTATAATTATTAACTTGCCTTCTTCCAAGAAATGTGTTCAGTACTTTGTTATGTGTGGCTAATGGTGGATCCTGCTTGTGACTCGAAACATTCCATTTTTAATTTAGTATTATTTGATTCTATAGGTCGTATTATATCTCTCTCCTGGCATCCCTCTGGTACACTGATCGCTGCAGGCATGATGGACATGATCAGAATTTTTGACGCTGAAACAGGTAACAAGAGACAACTCAGTTCTGAAAAGATTAGCATAACATTTAAATCTTCCAATTGAAGATCGACAGCTAAGTTTGGTGTCTGTTGAAACCTTCATCACCATGTATTTCTTAAATCACCTGATGATAGGATTATGACCCCTCAGTTTTTGTATGTTTACGCCGATCTCAGGCCACGCCACACACAGGCTGCTGGTGGAGAGGGGCGTCGGAGCATCCAAGAGCAAAGAGGTGGTGGTATGGAGCATTGTGTTCCTGTCTGACCACACCATCATTAGCGGCGACTCTGCAGGAAAGGTCCAGATCTGGGACGGATTCACAGGGACTCTGGTCAGAACGCACCTTGTCACCAAGTGGGATGTTCTGGCTCTGTCTGTTTCACAGGTGTGTTTAGAAGAATTACAGGTTAAAGTGACCTTTTTAGTTTCATATCACAACAGAGTCAGACTGATGTTAAATCTTCTGAATATGTCACAGGATGAGAGCAGTCTGGTAGCAGGGACATCAGAGGGAACCGTCGTCCAGTTTCAGTTCCTTTCCTCCACTGTGGACCAGCAGGATAAAGAGTGGATCAGAACAAGGACCTTCAAAAACCACTCACATGATGTGAGGGCGCTCGTCCACACAGACACTGCAGTGGTGTCTGGAGGTCAGTGTTTCGTATGCAGTTGTTGTTTTTTAAAATACCTTAAAGGAGAAAAATGTAAGATCTCTACTGAATTAAATCATGAGATGACTTTACTATACCATCAGACATTAAGGAAACATGCTATGTTAAAGTGCTGGCAACAATGCAAGGAAGAGCTGCTAAACACTGAAGCTTCAGTGTCCGCTATATGGAAACCTGCATGCACATCAACTCTAGGGAGGAGGGGGCAGCTCTCTAATGTTTTGAATTTGGACTGCAGTACCAATAAGTTACATATTGCTAATTTATTATTAAATCTGAACAATACGAGAATCTCAGCACTTTTGGTGCAAAACAGAAAGTAAAGAATAAAAAATCAAAGCAAATAGCAGACCTCCTACCTCCAAGAACCCAAATGTAGGTAAAATGATCAACCAAAAAATATAAAGAAAATAAACAGATTTTTTTTCAAAGTGTAATTCAGCTGTGCAGTAATGTGCAAGATATTGTCCAGGAAGTATATAAACATTACAGTATGAAAAACACAGAACATTTTAAAGATAAGAGTTCAAAGTAAGTGTAATAAGATGTGTTGAAGTTACCAGATGATCAAGAGTGAATGAGACCTCAAATCATCTGGCTTTAAACCACAAGATAGTACAAGAGATATTGCACCCCTCCATCCTTTCTCTTCAACTTGTTTTTTTTGTCCAGTTATTATGTTCAGAAGCTTGTTTTGAATGTTATAAAATGGTTATTGTCGCAACCACCACCAGAAGAGTCGCATTGTATTTGACACAGATTGACTAAAAACAGTTTTTATATAGTTTTCACAAATACGTTTTTTCTTAAATGCTTGTGTGACTTGGCTGTATGATAGAGGCTTAAATTTAGAAATAGCATTCACTGTCAGGTTCAGTGTTAATAGAAAGTATATGATAAAAACACTCTCATTGTTAAGTAATCTTTACTTTAGACAACCTACATCACCAATGCATAATACCGATGTGATTCTCGGTCTTCAGACATGGTGTAAGGCCTGTTCAGACTGGCTGTGGTGAAACAGTCAAAATCTGATTTTTTTCTGTAGTGCTTGATTCTATTATTACAGACACTGTATTTTTTTTGTCAAAATCACAAGAAATCTTCTGAAAGAATCCATCAAAATCTATTTGTGAATTTGTTGTATGACAAGAGGATAATAACGTTTTCCTGTATATTATCCCGTCAGGTATGGACACCCAGCTGGTCGTGCGACCCCTGCTGGACAAGGTGGAGAAGAAAACTCAGGAGTCAGCTCTGCGCAAAATAGCATTCCCACACGTGAGTACATATGTAGCTGGAAAAAAAACAATCATCACAGTACATTTTGATAAGTGCTATAAAAGACAGTTCTTATAGTGTGATGGTATGTAAAGAAAAAAAGCATGTTTGTTGCTATGGCGACACGCTCAACTCTTTCTGTACTCCAAACAGAGAAATCTGGTGTGCTGTGCAAAAAAAGCAGGACTGCTGCTCTTCCAGTTCCCCGACCATTTAGAGGTGTGGAGAGTCGGGGAGAGCGATGGACACGGTGAGGTCAACACACACACACACACGCGCACACACACACACACACACACACACATATACACATGCAAATGTATTATAGTGCAAGCATATGTGATAGAGAAAGTTTAATGGGAGCTCACAGTGTAATAACTGTGTGTTAACAGGAAAGCCTGGTGACAGTCTGCTTGTGAAGAGGAAGCCAGAGAAACTGATCCAGCTGAAGACGAAGGTATGTTTGGATGCCTTCCATCTACCGTATATATCTTTTGTTTTATATTAGACAGCTGTACTGTTCCAGGCAAACATTTTAGTCACTGACAGAAAGTTAAAACAAGGTCTGGCATCCATGGAGGTTGAGTTATGTTGCCAAAGTGGAAGTTTAACACGATGTTGTCTCATCAGCCATCTTGATATCATGACAATAACTGAAAAATCCCAAACCATTACAACCTTGGTGTGTTCTGACTGTTGCAGGGGGAGGATCACATCTGCTGCAGTGCTTTGTCTCCATGTGGAGGCTGGCTGGCTTACTCTACAGTCTCCAGTGTCCGTCTGTACAGATTACAGTACAACAACAACATCAGTATCACAAAGGTGAGCCCCCTCCTCTGCTCCTGTGTGTAAAACATCTGCAACTAGAGCATCAGCTATAAGCATTTGGATCTGTAATGCATGGCGATGTATTCCATAGTTTAACCCTGACATGACAAGCTGTGTGTGTAGGTTATGAGGAGCATGATGAATCTCATCCCTCTTGTCTTCCTCCTCTTCCTCTCTTCAGGTCTCCAGACTACCTAAAGAGCTTCGCTGGGCTCATCAGCTCTGCTTCTCCTCAGACTCCTCCAAGCTCTTTGCCTCCTCCACTCACTCTACTGTCATTGTTGTAGCCCTAAACCAGCTGGAGTGCAAATACCTTCAAACCCTCAAACCCAAGTCAGGTGAGTCTGAGTCTAGGATACTTGTATTATTCTGACCTGAATTGAAAACGAGCAATGACACTATTTGTGTTAATTTGTAAATACAGCACGCACGTACTACTTGACCCATCATCCTGCAGCTTTCATTTTGTTCTATGTATAAAGAGTCTTTGTGTGCGTTTCAGGCTCCAGACAGCCGGTCCACCTGCTGTTTGCCAGTGAAGATGGGAAGTGGCTCGCGTCAGCAAACACAGACTGTGAGGTTCACGTCTACAACCTTCAAAAGCTAAAGGTAAAATATAGGGTTGGGAATCAGCAGAGTCCCAGTGATACGATATTATCGATACTCGAGACACTCTACGATTCTATTGCGATTTTTAAAATTTTGCGATATGCTGAGAATTGTGATACAATATGTTGCAATTAAGCTTTTTAACTGCATATTATGTCCACTACACAAAACTAAATCAAGAACTGTTTTGTCAAATACGATAAAATTCTCAGTCTGTTCATCTCACTTCAGTCTTTTTATTTGTATTTCAGTCTAATTGAACTTGAACATGAATTCTTAACAATGCAACTTGTTCAAAATGAATTGAACAAAACATCTAAAATATCATATTAAAAATATCGATACTTGGCCGCCATGAGGCGATATAATATTGCCATACAAAATGTTGCGATACTTTACTGTATCGTTTTTTTACCCCACCTCTAGTAAGATATAAGAACTGAGATATTTTTCCTGTGTTCATATTTTAAACTTAAACTGTTCTTCCTTGATTGGTATAGATAAAACATCAACAGTAAGTTATTTTTGTCTTTTTTATGTTTACAGCTTCATTGTACAGTTCCAGTGTACAACTCCTGCCCCACCGCCGTAGCCATCAACCCAGCCACAAGCAACCTGGTGGTGGCGCATGCTGACCAGCAGGTACACACAACTTCAGACTGCTAATCATATCCTCTGCCTCAAAACAATAGACAAGCACAACATTTATAGAGAATTAGAGTATTCTGGATTTTTGTGTGATTGCTTCAGCTATCCGCTATCCTTTAGGTCATCCTAAAACAATCTAAGTACATCAAGTGAAAGTGCTGACAGGATCAGATTATTTTTTAAATTGTTGCATGAAGTGAACCTAGAGCAGAGGTAGATCTTTTTCTCTTACAAAAAGATGCTCTTTGGACCAGAAACAGCCATGACATCACTTTACCCAAAGCCACCCTTTCCCTTACAAATGAAGGAGATGCTTTTCTACCACTGCCTCAGTTAGTTAGTTTTTATGTGTTATTGTGGGTTAAATGAATGTTGTTTGGATCCAAACTAATTGTTGTGCAATAACAAAAAAAGTGAGCTATCAAGTCAGCAGCACACCACTAACTGCTTTGGTCTGCTATAATGACGGTTTTGTCAATGGAGGTTTGGGAGAGGGATTTTAACCTTCTAATGGACATACTTCTATCATGTGCCTTCACCCTCAAGAATAGAATTGTAGCTTTTACGTCTGTGTCACAGTTGTAGTTGTAGTAAGGCCAAAGTAAAAAAATACAGAATTTCTCTTTGAAGTTTCTTAATACTAAATCTGAGATGGGTATTCTCTGGATCTGATTACAGTGTGTGTTTTCTGCTGAATGTGTTTGCAGATCTTTGAGTACTCCCTGGTGCAGAAGGAGTACACAGAGTGGAGCCGGAAGCTGCAGAAACAAGGACTGCACTCCCTGTGGCTGGAGAGGGACACACTCATCACAAACATCACCTTCAATCCTAAAAACCCGGCTCACATCATCCTGCACGACATGTTCATGTTCTGCATCGTTGATCAAAGTCTGGTAAGTGAGCTCTCATCATTTCCCTGGATGCGTATACTTGGACCTCAGGAAGAATAGCGGCAGCAATGCTACAGCTAATGGGGATCCTAATGAGCTAAACTAACTAAACTTGCTCTGATTAAATATCAGAATGCTGCTGGATGTTCTAAATGCTACTATACTTACAATTGTGTGTGTCCTTTTTCATGTGCAGCCACTTCCTGAAGCGAAGGCTATCCTCTACAATCAGATGACACTGAGGAGTCTTCCTGAGCCAGAGAGGATACGACACAGCCATGCCTTTAAGATATGCAAGAATTTTCAGGTACCGTCATCATCCTGAACACAGTGGAGCTTCACTTTATCTTTGACCCAGAACAAACAGGCGTGATTAGTATTAAGCACAGGTGGTACATCAGTGAGGGATGTTGTTAAAAGGAAGAGTTAGTAGCATTGTTTTTTGCAGCTCGTAAACACACAACATTCAAACTTAGCCCCTCCTCCTGGGCTCATCACCGCACTCACTGCACTCACTGCACTCACTGCAGGACTTATATGTATGTTTACTTCCGTATACCTACACTGCATTCCACGGCACTCTAGCACAAGCTAACACAGGTATTTGGCAGCTGTCTGTTCAACAGAAAGGAGGCCAACTCCTCTTCCCCGAGTGAAAGCCAAATGAAAGTCCACCCTTGTTTAGGAACAGGCTTTATCCACGTGGTGTCTCACCTCACTATGATCTACTTTCTTTCTCTAAGTCAGCGTCAGTCATAATCACCCGGTTTGAATAGCATCCAATTGCTCAATTGTATCCACTCCAATCATTGGCTGGGGGAAATGCATCCATTCTCTGCCCAGCAATGTCAACCAAAACAAAACAAAACAAACATCAAAATCCATAGTAGAAGTACTGTATATATTTCCTTTTTTGGGGGGAAAAGCTACTGACTATCTTTAAGGTAATGGTAAGACAATGGGATAGGATCCAAAAAGTCCAGTTAAAGTTATAGAGGAATGTGTTTTCAGGCTGATCAGATGCCAAAACTCTGAAAAATCCTACACCATTGTGCAACTGTGGAAAATTCGAATGGCAGAAATTATTTAAATCATCTTTACAAGAGTGAGGTAGAAGTGGAAACATGACATTCTCTTGAAGGTTCTACAATACATAAGTGATGGGACCATTTTCTCCTTTCCATAATTAATTTTGTGACATTTATACAAACGTTTACTTATTTCTGTAGCGATGCACTGTTGTTGTTGTTTGCTATTGTCACTAGTAAATATTTTAAATCAGTTCTTTGGTGCTCTCTGTGAGAAGTGAACAGCAGCATCTATGAATGGTGGCAGTACAGTGTGATTAGCTGTAAATGCTACTGTTGTGGTGTTGCATAGAAGAATTTCTTATGCTAAAGCGGTGGTGATGGCACGTCGATAAATGATCCCACTTTTAAGCAGTATGTGCAGCATTGTATTTAAATTGGAACACTTCCACTTTGACAGTAATGCTGTCAACCACCATCCAAACGTTAAGTGTGTTTTAAAGTAGCATCCAAATTTGATCCAGATTACAGTCACATTGTGTAGTTAACTCTACACTGATGGATGTTTATTTCAATCAACTTTGTATTAACTGATGTTGTAATGGTTTCATTTGTTTCCACAGCACCTCCTGTGTGTGACTTTACTGGAGGACCACTCTCTTGTTGTGGTGGAACGCCCCCTGCTGGAGATAATGTCTCAGCTGCCTGCACCTGTCCGGCAGAAGAAGTTTGCTACATAAGTGAACTGTCAGAGAACAATGGATCATTTTCATAAATCACTGTAACCTCCACATCTGAACTCATTTTTAACAAATGTCAATGTGTCTCCACTTTGTAAAAAAAAAAAAAAAAGCCTTGATTAAAAAAAGAAGAAATAAATAGATCTATTTACTGTCATTCCTGTCGACTGAATCCATTTTCTGTTTGTGAATTCAGTTATCAAGCTGCCATTGAAGGGAAAAAAAACAGATGCAAATTTAAAGGTCACATTATACTCTTGTTCACCCAGTTTAAATATGTCTCAGAGCTCTCCAAAACATGTCTGTGAAGTTTCTAGTTGTAAATCCACTCTGATCCTGTATTTGATCATACCTATAAACCCTTTTATTTCAGCCCTGTTCAGAACAGGCTGTTTCTGTGTCTGTAGCTTTAAATGCAGGTGAGCTGTGTTTGACCACGCCCCCTCTCTGGAAGGGTTTAGGTGGCTCTGGCTTTCTGGCTACATGCCCAATTGTTTACAGTGAGGAGGTGTACTGAGAGGTCAGAACAAACACCTAGCTGTAGGAGTTTCACCCACATGGGGGAGGGATTACTGCCCTTTGTGATGTCATGAAGGGAAATCTCCAAACAGCCTGTTTGAGCACACATTTTCTAAAAAGTGGAGCAGGCAAAAGACTGCTTAGATACAAGAAGGATGTTTAACAAGGGGAAAAAATGGCTTGGATCCACTGCAATGGAGCATGATAGTATTATAAATAACAAACAAATGAAAACCTGGCAGAAAACAATTGACTGACAATTTGTAATTTGGGCAGTAAAATGAATCTTCATAAGTATGCTCTGTATTCACATAGACAGCCACCTGTATTTCATTGGAATAAGGTTACAAAGCAAGCTGATATCAGCATGTGAAGAGCCTGCTGCACAGGTGGGAATGTGATTTCAAACATTTTGTAGGCTGTCTTTAAAGTATGTCTTACAAATCATCACACAGATGTTAATTATATATATATATGACACTGAGGAGTCTTCCTGAGCCAGAGAGGATACGGCACAGCCATGCATTTAAGATATGCAAGAATTTTCAGTCACCGTCATCATCATCCTGAACACAGTGGAGCTTCACTTTACTTTAAAAAGTGTTCATAATTACACAATGTCTGACTAGATTCTATGATACACTTTTTTTCTCCAGTTTCTTGGATCAACCAATCACAGCTTCTGAATAAATGTGTCATACCTAGCAACGGGGTCAACCACACCTCCTCACTAAGATAAAAGTTTTTGTCTCTTCCTCGCTCTGAGCCCTGAGAATGTTCCTAAATCACTGCTAAGACTCCTTGCTAGGATTTCTTAAACAAAGTTAGAAGTGCTCTGAGAGGATTCTCAGTATGTTTGTGAATACGGGCCCTGCTCTTTTAGTAGAATTAGTTTGATTAAAATCCATTGGCCTGAAAGATAACATGCAGCCAGAACAGCTGGTAACAGTTCAATTGTTATTGTTCATATAAGGAAATCTAGTGAGGCAAATTCAACTTTATTCACTTTTATTCACTATTTGTTAGAACGTATGTTTCAGTATAACACAGAAGACAATCAGAGGAAAAACAATTAGTGGAAGAACGAAAACAAATGAGACAATTTTGACTTAGTTTAAACAGCCTACTTGTGTAACCATTATCTCAACATGAACAAGCATTGACATTCAATCTAAATGGAACAGCTTGTATGGTAGAGATACACATCAGACAGCAGAGGTCACTGTTGTCTTATTTCATCCTATTCCATACAGCGGCTGTGGCTCAGTTGGTAGAGTCATCGTCTCTCAACCGGAAGGACACTTAACCCCGAATTGCTCCCACTGCTTTGTCAGCGGTGTATGAATGGGATTAGTGACTTCTGATGGTCTCACTTCATAGCAACCACTGACATCAGTGTGTGAATGTGTAGGTGTGACATGTGGTGTAAAAGTGCTTTGAGTAGTCTGAAGACTAGAAAAGCGTTTTATAAACTCAAATCCATTTACCATGTACTTTAGGAAGGCTGGTGGGCAAAGCTGACATGTTGTCAGCAGGTGGTGATTTTAGGATATTAAAAATAGGTTATCATTTTAGAAAATAATAATAATAATAAGTAACTGGATGCCAAGACATGAAGTGCATCCAGAAAATTAAATGTCTCCAGGTTTTTCCTTTTCCTGTCTGCTCTCCACTTTTTTCCTTTTTTTCCTTCCTACCTTAACCATTGTGAAGTTAATCTGTAAAAAGGGATTCTCAGAGAGCAGATCTGAACTAATTTCAACATATATATATTTTTTGAGTATTGAGTGACAGGTTTTGTTTTTTTGGTTGGAAGACTAACAGAAGAGGGTCCAAGACCTTGGTGCTGTTCTGGGACACATGGGACCATGGAAATAGAAGTAGAATTGAGCATACAGTTTAAACAGCCAGCGTGTAGCTCATGTGGCCCTTCAGCAACCAATCTGGACTAATAAATGCACGTTAGGACAATTAGGCAGGGCTCCAGTCGGCTCAGTTCAGGGTTGGGTCTTCTTGGGTGTGTTGACCTTCGTGTCCTGTTATGTGAACTCACAGATTAAGGCTGCTTTAGTTTCGGAAGTTCCACCTTACAAGTTGTACAAATTTAATTGCAGGCAGGCACGTCATGTTTCCACTGCTATGTCAATTAAGTGTTAAGCAACATTTAAAGCCTTTACATAACCGTGCCACAGTGTATGGCCCATTTGGTGCTTTATTGTTTCTCTGTTTTATTGTATTGAAGTTATTTTTTAGCAGGCTGGATTTTGCTTCTGCACATTATTTTCATGTTTTTTTCCCCCATTCTTTATTATTTGTATATTAATCTCTACATCATGGTGTAGTAAGTGTGACATACACACTGTGTATGTCACACTTACAGGACAGTGGATAGAGTCGGAAATCAGGGAGAGAGTGAGGAATGAGTTTCAGGAAAGGAGCCACCGGTCGGATTCCTGCCCGGGCCACTCGTCTGCACCAACCACTAAGCCACCACATCGTGGTTTTAAAATTTACACAAAGCATGCTCTATTTCATTGTTAAATCAATCATCATACTTTATGTTTAATATGGAGGTTTAACTTGTATATATTCTTTTCTGATGGATGCCTGCCTTGGAGAGATTTTATTGATGATATTTATACATACTTTATAAGTCTTTGTGGATTTACTGTTCTTTGATTACCACAACAGGTATGTCTTTGCACGTCATTTCTATTCATGCCATGAATTGTTTGTTGGTTGATGTCACTCTCACTCAGCTCAGCAACAACAACTACTTCCTCTATTTAACCAGCACACAAAGCTTAGCTGGTTTTGAGTTTTTTCTTGAAAAACTACAGAGAAGGAACAACATGGACAAATAAACGTGATATCAGTGAGGACTACTTTTCTCTTTCGCTTTAGTGGGGAGTCCGATTTTGTCTCTGAGGGAACTTCTGAAGCTGGTTAATAAACACAAGTGGGAAAATACAGTACAATGTGAGGTTTGTATACTTGATTTCACTGTTTCAAACACAAGAAAATCACATCAGACATAAATGTGAAACGCTTAGGCTTTGGAATAGACTTGTAAAGATGTTGGATCAGAGACTCACAAAAAAGATTTTTATTTGGGATACCTGCCATTGTCACCCATGGGCAAAGGAGATAAACTCTGTATTCCATAAGAATAATATGTCCTTTATTTTACTAAATAAGTTAACATGTGATATTCAGGAGATAAAAAATAATATGTTTCTAATGTACAAAAAGAAATGGTCTCTGGATATATGGTGCAAACCAAAACTAAGAACATACTGTCTCATAAAGGATTGCTACAGCGTAGAAGCCTATGCTAAGTTTAATTTAACTTAAAGACAAAGATCCCTCTGCACTCAACTACGTTCAGGAACAATGCCTTTAGCTTTAGAGACCGGCAGGTTTAATGCCATTCCAGAGGAAGACCGAGTTTGTTAGGAGAAACTGAAAACGAGATTCACTTTTTGTTTTACTGCCCGATGTATGCTGACATCAGGGATGTTCTTTTTACGAGAATATCTTCAATTTATGTTGATTTCTTTTGGCTAGACGATTATGAAAAACTTGACTTGTGTTTTAAAAAAGGAACCTTTGTTATAGCAGATTTTGCTTGTAAAGCCTGGGAAAAAAAAGACAGAACACGGTTTTTAAGACTGAACTTTGACAGGAGCTGGCACCTTTGTAATGTTATGATTTGTAAATGTGAACCACTGCAACTGAATTCTTTGGTGTCTTATAAGCCCATGAGGGTTGGGCACTCGCATGACACGAAAATAAATTAATCAAATCAAATATACTCGGATTGCATCAGCCAGCCAAAGAAACACTTATTCTGAACAAATAAAACATAAACATGGCAGCTTTTAACAGTGCTGATATCCATCTTAATGTCCAATGTGGTCGCTTCAGCTCCCCAAAGCCAACATGTCGACATTCAAACTGCAAACTCAAGGCTACAAAACAGGAATTTAAAACTAAAGGGAGATTTCACAGATTGTAAGTTAACTGCCTAAAGAGAAAATGGTCAAATAAAACCTACTGATGTTGGCAAACCTTTTTTTAAGGATTGTTTTCCAGCATTAGTATAAGAAAAGTCTACAGAAAGACACTGAGAATGTTTATCCTTTCAAATCATTTCTTTATTTTGTTTCAATGAAGGTGAACTCTTGAGTAAGACTTACAAAGTCCTACTGGGAGGACCCACAAGTTTTCACAGATACATAAATACCAAGTCTTCTTTATCTTAGAATTCTTCAAATCCTCAAACATTCAAATTACAAAACAAACAAAATAAATAGATAGTTAATAAAATATTATTAGTAGATAAATTATTACTTCTTAAAACTATACAATAGCTATTATCAGCGATGACAAGGCCATCAATATAAAAGACAAGAGTAAAATACCCATTTACATGAGCTGCACTATGCAGAGCTGTAACAAAGTCCTGATAAAAAGCACACATGGCCTATAAAGACCTAAATAACACAATATAGATTATCATATGATGATTTGACAATAAATAGGCCTATATAAACAGGCAGATGTGACCTCCACTTGTGAAGCCTTATTAATTATCTCAATAGTGCAATCTGTGCTTTGAGTTTCAGCCAACCGTCACTCACTCATCACACGGTGACACCCTGAGCTAGACTCGTGCTGCATTTTAAAACAAACACAACCTTAACTCCTGCAGTTTGTCACTGTGTCAGATTGGGTCTGGCACAGTGACAGCCAACAGCCACGTCCTCATAAACAGTTGTTAAAGAGTATGTCTGTTTATCCTTGCAGAGCTCCTTCTTCAGAAACATCTTGCTCTCCTTTATGGGGACTGAGTTGTAGGCATCACTCATTATTAGTCTCTTCTCCGCATCTGGGCTGTTCTCGATCAAGATGCATCCGCTGCACAGACACTCAGCTTCGTAGTAAGTGGAAGGAAAGTACGCGTCGTTGGTTCGAATTCTGGAAAAAAAAAGAGCAGATTATCAAAATAAGGAATGGAGTTGTTCCGAGGCGTTTGACATCTAATAGAATTGTGCTTCGCTGAAATCATAACTGATAACTGTTTTCTAAAACGATAAACTATTATTCAATAATTAAACTATTAAGAGTTATATGTAGATGTTAAATATGTCAAATATTTGTTTAATGCATGATAATGCACAGAGAACAACTCAAGACAGCAGCACAACATAATTTCCCATGATGCAGGTCTACTGCTGTTATAATGTCAAAAAATAAATTAAATCATATTTTTGTCAACAGAGTTTCTGGGCTTTGCAGAGAGCAATGTAACAACTCGACCAAAAGGTCTGACTCTAAAAAGAATAAAATCTGAGCCTGTCAGTGGTGAATGGAAGCATTTCAACTTGATCTACTTTGACTAAGTGGCATTTGTGTTTATCTTTCAGCTATTATAGTCTATTCAAACACTTGTGAGCTGAAGCTGTTTACTGGGACAGTTCTACGTGTTACAGCCTGCAGGTTTAGTCGGATGTAAAAACAAGTCATCACTTCTATTAAACCCATTTCACACAGCTAAAATAATTATCCGATTTGCGAGCGGATGTGCACTTTCACAGTGATGGATGCAGAGTGCTTTCCCTCTCTGGAGCCGAGGTGTGGCTCACGCAAACTGCGCGTCATCGCAGTTGGGGTATCTTTAGATTAAATTCATCCCTGCACGCACAGTGGGTATGTTATGGATAACAGCAGATAACTTAAGTAGGCTTGAGCCCAGTTTTCAAAAGGAGGGATTTCATCCGGTAAATTCACTTGTAGGTTAGTTTTCATTAATTAATTAAACCTTTATAGTGTAAACGGCGGTGTTACTTACACTTGTCTCCAGGGGGACAGGGACCTTTCTTTCAGAGCCCTTGGTGGATAATTACGGTACAGCTCCACGGGACAGGCGGGTTCCGTCGGTGACTTCGTGGTAGATGGATTCAAAGGCTGCTTGTGGTGTCTCCTCAGCCTCCTACCCGCTACCTCTTCCAGCTGGCTCTCGTTGAAGCATTGGGAAGTAAACACGGGCACGATTAACAGTCCAAAGAGGAGAATCTGGAGAGGAGCAGAGAGTCAGCTGGAGTGATGGAAGGCGAAAAGAGCAGACTGTCATTTTGTGTCTGACTGTGTCACTTACCTTCTTCACGTCCATTTCTGTTTCTTTTTTTTTTTCCTCTCGCTTCAGACTTCTATCGAGGGGATCTGCTTTGCTTTGGCTGTCCATCATGCTCACACGCAGATTTAAATACTTAAATAGTCAGGCGTGTTTGTGGGAAAATCCGGCGGCACCAGGAAATGGAAATGCTTCCTCTTTGCCTCACAGGTAGGCAGGCAGGTGTGAGTGTAGCTGTCATAGGAATGCATCAGAGCAGCTCAGCAGAGGAATTTTTACGCACACAAACAAACGCACACACTGGTGTCAAGTTAGGCAAATTGATGGTTGATTATCAAACTGGAGAGCTCACAGTCTACTCTGTAAAAAAATGTCCTCTAGGGACCAACAACAGGCAACAAAAACAGCCTACAGAATAAAAAAAAAATATATATATTTTTTTTAATAGGCTAATTTAATGAACAGATCAATCATATCATATATCCTTTGTAGGTTAACTAAAGTGTTGGTCAACAACGATGCATTTGTCTTTGATTTTTTTTTTATTGCAGGAGAGGAATTTGTTGGCCCGAGGATTTAACAGCAGGTTAATCAAGCTGATGATTAAAAAAAAACACAGGTACCATAACAACCTTAAAGTTAGAGATTACAAATGTGCAGAATATTTCTGTGAGAGCACCTTCCTGTTGTATGAGAAGAATGTCATGACTTTAGAGAGCTGGATAAGTTTATGTTACATACATTTCTATATAAGAAAATGACTATATTTCACGACGTCAGGTTACTGATATGAATGGCCCTTTGCCCGTGCGTGCGTTCCTGTTTTGTGAGTTAAAATAAAACATCCTTCTTGATGGCATCAGCGATGCCTTTTCAACCTGGCTTTTAGTTGAGTTGAATATTTACTCCGTAAGTCTATAAATTTACGTCAACTAGTCGGTGTAAATTCAGGGATATGCCCTGTTACAGTTTATAAATACTTATTATTCTTTGGTGTTTCCTCATTGTAAACTGATGACATTTACGATAGCATTCCCCCAGTTCCTATTTTTTATTTTATTGAAGGCTGTCTTTACTGAACGCTTCTCTATAATCACATAGTCAATGCTACATTCATCACTATGAGTAGGCCTAAAAAGTCCTAAGCAAATAAAGTCTGATTGATTGACTGTTTTTTTTGGGGGGGGGGGGGGCTTTTTGTGCCTTTAATGCAGAGATAGGACAGTGGATAGAGTCAGAAATCAGGGAGAGAGAGAGAGAGGGGAATGACATGCGGGAAAGAGGCCACAGGTGGGAAGCGAATCCCCGGGCCGCCCGCTTGAGACGACAGCCTCCATACATGGAGCGCACGCACTAACCACTGTGCCACCAGCGCCCCGACTGATTGATTGATTGATTGATTGATTGATTGATTGATTGATTGATTGATTGATTGATTGATTGATTGATTGATTGATTGATTGAGAGGGTCCCTGGTATTGTATGCTGGTTTTGCGCAAAGAGGAAATAATATTAAAGTCCTGTAGGGGGTTGTCTTGTTAAGGCATTCAGTAATAGCCTAGACTTATCTGAATACTGAAAAACGCTTAACAAAGAACAACAATAACAATACAAAACAATGAAAACAATACAAAGGAGAAATAGCTCCAGAGAAGGAGGAAGAGAACAGCTTGTGAGGGTTTGCATGCGATGTAGAAGAGTTGAGTTTTTAGGGATTTCTTGAAGGTGGAGGGTGAGGGTGAGGGGGAGTCTCTGATGTTTTTTAGGGGTGAGTTCAAGAGGGTGGGAGTGTAGTCTTCTGGAGTGACAGGAATCCATCCAATGCTGAATTGGGCGTGCCTATCTAGTTTGGTGATTAATAAGAAACGAACAAATATTTTTAATGTATACTTTTTTTAGGGGGGTGAGATTAGTGCTATTTTTTTTAGATATTTATGTAATATTTTATTATTCATTCCTTTTTTTTAAAGATTTATTTTTTGGATTTTTGTGCCTTTATTCGGACAGTGGATTGAGTCGGAAATCAGGGAGAGAGAGTGTGGGACGACATGCGGGAAAGGAGCCACAGGCTGGATTCAAACCTGGGCTGCCTGCTTGGAGCACGCGCACCAACCACTGCTCCACCAGCGCCCCATATCATTTCTTTTTTATGTACACATCAAATTCTAAATGTATGAATAAGACATGTTAAATGTTTGTTTTTTCACAGGTTTGATTTGTCAAACGAGCTGTGACTCAGTGTCAGTTGTCTCTCAACTGGAAGGCCAGGGGTTCGATCCCCAGCACCAGCAGCCACATGTACTTTAATTATTGAGTTTTCTTAGAAATAACAAATTAAAGAAAATGGTTGTTTTTCATTTTAGAACACACATGCATACAGAAGAATTCACTTTGTTTCAAAACGCATCAAGAGATCAAGGTCTTTTATTCATTTATTCCAAAGATCTCAAGTTTAAAACATGTTTCTTTCCACTTAGCATGATCTTTTTTTAATAACACAGTTTCAAATTAGGAGACCATGAGCCTTTTAAAAATCAAATTACAACAATAAAAAGGGATTATAATGCCTTTTAGTTTTAGTTGAACAGAAACTTTCTCCCTTTAAAGAAAAGACTTGTTTTACCGGAATCCCAGATCAGTTGATCATTATCTCATTGATTCAGTTGTGATGAGGTAATACAGGGTTGTAAATCCCAAAGGCTCAAAAACAACAACATACTTAATTGTTGTTTTTTAAATCTGTCAGGGCTTTTCTGCCAGGAGAATTTCCCAAAGATCACTGTGTAGCCGGCCCGGTTACACTGCCAAGTGTGTTCTGAGGAGATTAGGTGCCAGCTATTGTTAGCAAACCTTTGTGATTGCAGCGCAGTGTCACTGGGACATTTCTCTACTTTCATCTTTGAATAAGGCATGTAATAATTCCGCTCTTCCCGGTCTCAGTGAATGTTCCAACACAGTTTACTGTCAGCAATGTGTCAACAAGTCCAACCTTAAAGCTGATGTGAGGAGTTTGTAACAGGTTAAAACACACAATGACATTAAGATTTCTCTTTATGACCACCAGAAAAAATAAGACTTTTTCTGTAAGTCATTAAATAAGTTGCAGCAGGTTGCTTTTAGGGGTCTCTAAGATCAACACAACCTCACAGTAACTTCAATGTGTAACACGCACACACACATGGAACACACGCAAACTCCTTGCCTCCAACGAGCAGGACGATTTTATGTAAGAATATGACTTTAAGTTTTTCAACTAAAATGTGAATAACCTCGAAGCAAGCATTTTTCTTAAAAGACATTGAGAGAGTAACACTTCCTTTTGTAAAGGACTGTGTTTGTCTGAAGGAGGTCAAGGAGAAGGTGCTACCTGTAAATATACCTAAGTGAATCTTTACAGGTATAGTGTTTAACCAACGCAAACATACACTCATGATGCTGAGGGTAACTTATGCCGGTTTTGCGATACGAGAACAATATTACAACCTTTCGAGCAGCTTGCATCTCACTGTTTTGAGGGTACAGTTTTATTGTTTTGCTTAATCTAATAACGCAGAAAAGTGGCAGCTCCGATAAATCATTGTACACTAGCTGATGAGCAACATATAGTAGACAAAGTTTGTTTATAAGTGAGGAATTTAGAAACTTAAGAGACAGAAAAAAAACCGTTCTCTTTAGGAGGTGGTGGTGACCCAAACAGAGGTAAAACAGGAGTATCCGTATTGACCTTTATTGGGTAAAACAGTCTCTACTCCATAAAAATGATTAAGGAGTTCTTGTCACACATCCACTGAATACCCATGTCACCCCACTTCCCTCAGGACGGAGGTGCAGAAAGGCTCGCCTTGAGAAAAGCTGCCCTGAACAAAAGGCCTCTCTGAGCAGGCCAGAGTGGGAGCTTTTGATTGTTGTTTGTTGTTTGTTTTTACACTGTTTTGTGTATGTACAGTTATTTGGTGGGAGTTGTCTGTTGGACAGAAATGGGGTTGTAAAAAGGATTTTCCCCATGGGGACAATAAAAACAAAAGTCTGTAGGCTGTTTATAGTATATAAGAAGCATTTGCACTGTAAAGATGACTGAATGAAAATTTGGTGTTACAATTTAGTCTAGAAATGTGTTAGTTAATGTAAACAATCTTTCCAAAAAGGCTATAGGTTTTTTTATCGGTCCATGACACAACCTCCCACCAAGTTTCATCAATGTGAAACAGTGATTTTTCTGTAATCCTGCAGTCAACAAACAAAAGGATCAACAAGAAAACAATAAGAAATATTGGCCTCTTTGGCCCCAACTTCAGAAATAAAAAAAACAAAGCTGCTGAGTTTATGACTTCATAATGTGAATAATGCATCAGATTCTTAGTTGTATTCATCGAAGCAGAGGTGAGCATCCCCTGCGTCCATAATTGTTGGAGGCTTTAACAATAAAATAAGTCTTCAATTCAATCAGTGCTGCATCCTGTAAGAGAGTAAAAAAACACTGTTCTGCTTATTATTACATTTTTAGCCCCTGCTGTTCTTCCTCTTACCTTATTACTGATCGCAAACAGCAAAAACTCAGGTTTGCCAGATCAAAGAGGTTCAGGTTCAGAGGTGCTGTGAGGAACTCTGTGTGGTGCTGTTCTATTGTTGAATCAGTTACATTGTGAACACTGAGCAGTGTAGTGCAGTGTGACGTTTCGGTTACACCAATGTTCATCTATCAAGAGAGGGGAATGTCCTCTTATCAGCGTGAGCATGTCTGGGGGCATTTACACTAACTTTCCCTGGTCAGTCCCTTTGAGTGTGTTCCACAGTGTGAAGCTCTGCAGTGTGAAGCTCTGCAAAAGTAAACAAAAGCATCTTGCATTTCAGAATAGGGAAGTAATGAAGTGCAAATACTTGATTGCTGTACTACAGTACAGTCAAGTTTTCAGGAATCCATACTTGATTTGCACATATATTTGGAGGACATTTTATTAGTGCTACCCCACATTTTAAAATACATTGTCTGTTATTTCAACTTTTTAAAATGTCAAAACAGACTCATTCGTTTTAATGCATTCAGGGGGATACGTGTTTTCTTTTTCTCATCCTTGTGTGCCACTCTCCCAATATTGAAAGCAGCATCTACGTGAGTAAATGTGACCACAATACAAAGAAAAGACAGTGAAAAGAATGGAAAATATGAGTAATAAACAGAAACTAGATTTT